CAAGTTTCGTCTATCGTGGCGACGGCTGCTTACTTTGCATGAGCCTTTGAGTCTCACTACACAACCTACTGTCGACTGGGATCCAGTCCAGGAGCGCAGCTTCAGCTCTCAATGAGAGCCACACCAACGTCATCAAGGCCGGAAGCCGCAGCCTCAGGGTCGAGAGAGGNGAAACTTCACAGATGGGTTTGACGGGGACGTCAATCGGATAATGGAGCTGGCGTCTCGAATGCGAGTTTCTTGGACAAAACACACATCGATGGCTAGGGTCTTGAGCGTACGAGTTCAATACGCCTGTTGTCCTATACGCATCAGAGTACGCACATCAAACGTGGCTAGTTTGAAGGGGCATCGAGGGCGAAGAAGGGCTCCAGCTGGTGGTGGATTCGGTGAGACTTGGATGCTAGTCGAGGTAGGACAAGAGCGAACAGCGGTAGAATTTCCGCCCGAGGCACTACTGTTAGTACGATCGCCTGAAGAATCCGAGAGAGATGGGGGAGTGTTGGAGAGGTAGAAATGAGCTGGAGGAGGCTGGGAGAACAAGGTGTGTACGATGTAGAATGTTTTTTGCAGGATGAGGAAGCTTCGGAGTACATGGTAGTAAGAGGAATGTTGTATGCGTTGTGGACTATTGTACTACTCGGTCGCCCGGTCCAGAGTAGGCCTTGTTCGAGGATGCACTCTAACCTTCGCGCAATCAAGTATAGACTACAAGGCAGCAGTAATGTTCCAGATGAGCCGGTGGCTAGTCTTCGGTTCATTCGCCTCTTCTGGAAAACCTTGTCGAGCTTTGGGTCTCGACAAGGAGCAATGACCATATTTAATAGCGGGCCACACTCGTCACGTCACAGCGCTGTCCACAGATATATGTGGTGTTTTGTGTGGAGAACCCTTGCCCCTTGGTAAACCCACCACACCCTCGAGCGCTGCCGCTGATCGTCCGCGACCGCTTATTTGGTAGGCCGAAGCCCACCTTATTCACGGTTAGCCGTGAGATGATGGCCGTTTCCATATCCGCGACCTGGAGACGCGCTCAGTAGCATACAACTCTGCTCTCCCGAGACAGCTTATACTTACCCGCCGTTAGCGCATGCCTGGCTTGAATTTCTCGCATAGATGCCGGTTCAGGCGATGACCCTTTGTTGACTGAAGCCTACTGATCTTACCGATTGGACATTCCAACATCTTGTTCGCATCTCAATCTGACTGTCATCCGGAAACCCGAACAGAAGGATCAAGAACTTCTCCTGCAGTCGAAGCACAGTGGGCTCGTATCAGAGTTCACAAGTGCAAGGAACTGGACGCATTGGCAATAGCCACCAGTCCTGTGTACCCGACCTGAAATCCCTCTTCACGAAGAACATTCTGTCTTTCCACGATTCCAGTCCACAACCAGACTCGGCCCACTTGCGTTTGTATTCAGTGTATTCGTTCACGGGGGACATCCTGCAGCACGCACGAGCCAAGCATCTAACAATTTTGTTTTTTCTTCAATTAGTTTCAGTTTAGCTGGCACAGTATGGGAAATGGCCACGGCCATCCGAGCGCGCAGAATTCCTTCATTGGTATGCACTCAAGTTCGGCACCCATCAATGCACACATTAGTCTGTTACAGTCGTGCTGTAAGGAGGAACGAATCAGAAAATTACTTCTCATCTCCATGTTAATCGTTCTACGAATTTTAAAGCTGGGCAATCGCTCCAGTAACATTTTATCGTTAGCGCTTGCACCTCACTGAACCATCTTGGGTCTTGGCGTTTTATTTGCCTCCTTGCAGGTCCATCTTTCACCCCGGCCCCCGGGAGTTTAGTTCGCACAGGACGATTATGGCCTTTGCCAACTAAGCGTCCAGTTTTTGGTGGGTAGTGGGGGTTTCCAGCACTATTTTTTCATTACAAACCTAAGTGTGATGAACAGCAGAGGGGACGAACCCCATAGTCACGAGGACCGGCTGCTCAGTGGTGGAAACCGGCAACCTAAGCCCCGGGACTTGGAGTAACGAGCCACACATAACTCAAATTGATCACATAGCAGTAAGTTACCGTTGGCGTGGCTCAGTGCAAAAGTGCAGGTCCTATTGGACCACCTGCGTTGAATCTGACCACGCATTAATTTTGACGCAGTTCACTCTCCGAATGACTGATCAGCGACAAAGCCAGAAAACTCGTACAGCTCATCATCGTGTATCTGTTCCAGCAGTTCATGCACTCTGAGTCTGAGCTAGTGCGTGAGCTAATCGCGCCTCAACGTGGTGATGTAGATGAGCAGTGACATCAGATCCGGCGAGCAATGCATTCCACAGCGAATGATGCCTTTGGGTCTGAGCCTCAAACCCGTCGGAGGTATTGGATATCTCAGGAATCAGTGGTTTTGATGGAGAAAAAAACGACAAATCCCGACCTGCCAAGATCAAAATAGAGTTAGGTGGCATTTACGTCATCTCACGAAGAGCCTCAAGAAGAACCGTGAGAACTGGTGGGCAACAATAGCTAGTGAGATGAAAATAGCAGCTGCATCAGGGAATAGTCAAATAATTTTTCGACTGATACGCAGTGCGGGAGGTCGGCGAACTTCAGTTAATGAAACAAACTGCGATAAGCAGGAACAAACTATCCATAATAGGGATCAACGACTCGATCAGTGAGCGAAACTATTTCAGCGAACAGTCCAGCTGGCCTGGCGCTAGCCAGGCTAACTGAAGCTGCGTGGGTAGTGTTGTGCGATTCTCCAGCAGAAACAGAAGTTGGGTCTTGCATTCAGGCTCTGAAGCAAAGAAAGAGAGCAGGACCAAACGAGCTCCCTCCCACTCCTTTCAAGATGGGCGGTGATAACCTCGTAAGCTGAATTACTGCCTTACCGCGCAACATCTGGACGCAAGAGCGTATTCCTTCATCTTGGAGCGAATCATCGATTGCTCCCATTTTCAAGAAAGAATCTCGCAACGACTGCGAAAACCACTGCGGGATCAGTTTGATCCCGATCGTCACCAAAGTGCTGGCCTCGGTCATACTTCGACGTCTGATTCCTTTAAGAGAGATCAACATCCATAAATAGCAATCCGGATTCCGGCCTGACCGTGAATGTATTGATCAAATTTTTACGTTACGCCAGGTTCTTAAGCTGCGTCACACCCACCGCCGNCCACCGCCGACCAACGATCGCAGTGTTCCTTGACCTAAAAGGAGCCTTCAACTTAGTTGACCGCGAAGCTCTGATGGGTTCTCTTCATCGAAAAGGAATGCCCTGGAAGTATGCTAACTTACTAAGGTCACTGCACTCACATACCTCTGGTCGAGTGAGGGTTTGCAACGAATTAAGTAGTTCGTTTGTCACCAGCATTGGCGTTCGTCAAGGGTACCCTCTTTCGTCATTCTTGTTCAACTTCGTCTCAGACCAAATACTGGAGAACGCATTAGGTAATTTCCAAAACGTAGGCATTGAATGGGCAGGTGGAGAAAATCTGTGCGATTTGGAGTACGCCGATGACATCTTCTGTCTGTTCGAATGTATGAAGGACGCGTACAGCGGTCGATTGCCTTTCACGTATAGGTAGTGGTGTAACCAATGACGGTAGCGCAGCAAAGGAGATAACTGCCCGCGTTTTCAAGGCTCAAGCAGCGTGCGCAGGGCTGAAACACCCTGGGCGTAGACGCGACCCTTGAAATTTTCAATTTAGACGTGCCGTCTCCGGGACACACCACAATAACAGTCTTCTTCAGTTATCCCATTTGTTTCCGTTATATCAATAGGGGTTTCCATACAGGAGAGTTACATTCAGTTGTATCGAATTCTGCCTTTAGTTTTCAGTAAACTGTACACTTATTTCTTGTTTGCATTTTGCTCACATAGTTTGTAATTTAACCGTAGTTGATGAAATTTCGATCATTCACTGTCGCCGTTCAGATGCATTGAATCACACTATTTGTTTACATTCCAGCAGATGTTACAAGTGCTTTCGCAAGATCCTCATCTTATTCAACCTTCTGACGAAGCCGCCACTCGCGCATGTGTGTACTTTCTATCGCAAGTCGGCGCAACCTTTGAATTTCAACGCACACGTAATGCGGACGCCTGTTCCCCGGATCACTTATTACCCGTAACTTGCTACAATGGACAGTTAATAACTGGTTTTGATGCTTTGTGCAATACCCTTGAAGCCACGCGACCAAGAATAACTCCTCAATCGGGTGACACAATGGAGGGTGATCGTGCCGCTCGGAGTCTCCGCCGGATTTACTTAGTTTGGCTTTCAGATATTTTGCGCAACGTTATGCTATATTTTACTTGGCACAACGAACCCACATTCAGTGAGTTCACAAAAAACCGGTTCAGTTTGGCACTGCCTTGGCCGTTGTCAAGTTTGGTGATGAACAGAGAGAAACAGCTTTATAAAACGTATTTGAGTGCTGTCGGCTGGGACAAGAAAAGTGTGAACGATGTGCTTGAATCAGTCGAGAGCGTCTGTGTTGGATTGACCGAATTACTCCACGAGGGTCCGTTTCTGTTTAAACGACCTTCCGTGGGCCGCCTGGACGCACTTGTCTGTGGATACTTTTCTGTTTTCCTGGATTATGATAACATATTCCAAGAGGTCAACAATGTGCTGAAAAAACATATGAAACTGATGGAGTTAATAGATCGAGTGAAGGAACAGTGCAATGCCGCACAAAAGATTTTATAGATCTTACATTGTTATTTTGTAGAAATTTTGTTTTCTTACACTTTACTTCTTTTCCGACTTCCCGCTGTCAATTATTCGATCCTTCTAGTGAATTACACAAAAGCATGTTTTGAACGCATCGCAAGCAATTAATTGAGTCAGGTTTTTTCTCATATCTTTTGTCGAAGCAGACGATAATTTCTCGAAAACTCTTTCAAGCTGTAGTTGCGTTCGTACTCCGTCCGATCAGCCGTTCATTTTACACAATAGTTCTTTAATTTCGTTGATTCCACCGATAATCGCTCCTCCTGAGAAAGTGGTACATCGAGTAGGGAAATTTCGTTTCGTTGACAGATGAATTTATTCCGTAGAATGTAATTTAGATGAAAGGTCGTCATACATACGGAAGATTCGTTTGCCATGTATAAAAATGAATTATCTTAGTCATCGTTCTGAATTCACTCGTCCGTTAAGGCTCGAGCTTATTCCAGGTTGGTTCTATAAGTGTTGACATAAGGCGATTGTGTTGATCACGCCTAGAGAGCAAACAAACAACAGCGATTGAATTATGCCTTCGAACTTGGATTGTCTGTTTGGTTGAACGACATTTAAGTTACTATTGAGTAGTACTTTTATTTATTTCATGGTTCTCTGGGTTCAGGCAGTGTGTTAAACAATCTAGGTAGTCGCAGTCGTACGTAAATACTTCACATTCGTAGATAGTGATAACTAAAATAATTGCTGCTGCTAAAACAATTACTGATCGATTCAACCAATAACCTTGCAAAGTGCTACTTCGGTTCTGTTTGATGTGGAACTTCGTATGTCGCCTATGTGAAATCACTCAGGATATCACCAGGAAGATCAACCGACCAAAAGCTATAGCGTTGATAAAAACAAAATTGCCATTTCACTTGGTTACACTCATTTTTCGTACACTATCAGATCGACCGACAAGCAGCCTTAGCTAGAACCCTTGAAGTTTTCAATTTAGGCATGCTGTGTCTGCGAAACGTACAAACCCCACTTCGGTCATCACCTTGCGTTACTCAGATCCAACCTTATCCTCACTCTTCACTCTGCGTGTCAAGCGATTTGGCATATGACTTTTGCGGTGTTCCTAGTGTTAGGGTTACGCTGTGTCAAGGTTGATTCCAGTCAGTAGCCGACTGTGCGCTATACGTCTTGACGGTTCAGTACGGGCCAACAGCTACAGAAAGAAGCGTCGGTGCATGCACCGACCGATTGCAGTACCCCTGAAATCAAGGATGAACCATACAGGGATCTTTCTGAACTACTCAAACGAGTTCGCCCAACGGAAATCGTAGTGGTCACTGATGTCTTCAGCGGCCAAGTGGGATCCCTGAAAGAATCTGAAAGATTTCTTGGCTGTCTACCTGTAATTTCAGCCAACAGATCGGACAACGGAGATCGCCCATTTTAACTTTGGGCAGACCACATTATTGTTTCCATCGAGCACCACTTCCCACAAGAAAGGACACCATCTCACATCGGATATCCTACCTCTTCTCAGCGATGGACTTAAATCAAACAAATCGCCATCAGCTACCGCTGACGAGAATCCACCGAATATTACTGCCCTCAGTGCTCAACACCCATAGAAACCGATCACACTCTGTTGGGAGCCAGAGTCTCCCTACGCCTGGTAAAATATCGCACAAAAGTCACCGGAAACAGATACCCATAATACGATACGAATGCGAATCTGTGTTCGGTGCGGAACTTTATGATCGCCTCTGAACTCACCCTCTCACTGAGGGACTCAATGAACACTAGGCGTTAATCAAGGAAACTATCCAAATGTCGACCAGAGAATGGTAGATCCTGGCACGCGATCAAGCCCCAAACGATAGATATCGTCGACTTCGGCTGCCTTACTGGACTCCCGCAAGACTATTCATCCTAAGTTGACACAGCTCGCAAATGCCTAAGTGATTGCTCATAAGGAGTCTGAGGAATGACCGCAAGAAGCGGTGAGTAAAAACGTGGAGAGAAATGGAAAAGACCACGACTGGCGGTAATGGTCGCGATCTCTCCCATATAATTAGGAGTACAGACTCGAGGAAGGTAGCCGTTAGTGAGGTAATTAAGAATTCTGAAGGGACACTGAATCACAGTCATTAACATCGTCTTGAAAAATAGACTGAACATTCCGAGGTTCGATTCAACTGGCCCCGATCGACAATGGGCCTGTCAACCTCTGCCTGTTGATATCGGTCCTCCATCTGAAGTGGAGACTTCCCGAGAAATACGTTATGGAAGTTCAGCCTTGGTTTTGGATTTGGCGAAGCTCTTGTGGTGAATATGGGAGAGGGAACGGGTTCCACTGAACGGTGTAAATCGGTCATCTTAGCGATTTACAACAAACGTGACAGATCCCCTTGTGAAAACCACAGAAGAATTAGTTTAAGCAATATTGTCTTTAAATTTCTTGCTGGCATCATTCTCCTTCAACTGTCTACCGTTCGTGAATCAGGCAGATTTTAGACCCGGTTGAGGTTTTATAGACGGCACTTTCACTCTTTGTCAAATTTTAGAACACTAACACTCCTTTCGTAGACCCACCATTAATTTCTTCCTTGATCTGAAAGCGGCCTTCGATTAGGTCGACTGCTGTATGTTCTGGCGTTATCTCTCGCGAAGTTTGTTTCAATTTTGCATATCTTTATACTAATAGCCGAGTCCGAGTTTACAGCACTTTTTCGCTCTAGCTCATCACAGAAATAGGTGTTTGCTAGGGTTGCCCTGTCTTTCCTTTACCATTTGACTTCAGCATATATATATATGATCGTGCAAACAGCCTTGTTCTCCGGCAAGGATAGTGGAGTCGATTTTCTCCCAGATGGCATACTGTCTGTCTAATATAGAATATGCAGACGACATGGTACTGTTATTTGAAGATCCAGGTAAGTTGCAAACTTTTCTGGATAGTTTGAATGCCGCAGTAGCCATGTTCAGTCTGCGTTTTACACCTTCAAAGTGCAAAATGTTACTACTGGACTGGGCTGGTAATAGACCAAGTGGACAAGTTTTGTTTTTTGGGCAGCTATATATTACCCGGTGGACGCATCACGGATGAAGTGTCGACACGCGTGCAGAAGGCTCGATCGGCATTTGCCAACTTGAGATATCTGTGGTGCCGTGGAGGCATCTGGTTGTTTGTAAAGGGTTAAGTGTATGCTCCAGCAATTCGACCAGTTCTGCTTTACGGCGCAGCTACTTGGTCATTAAGATAACAGGATAAAGATATTTTGTTGCTGTTGGAACGTTGCTGTCCACGCCACGCTGCATGAGTCTTTTAGGAAGCCGGATGAGCAATGCTGAGGTTCGGTGCAAAGTTTTAGGATTCACGGTCGCCCATTGGAGCAAGTGATCGACCTCCATAGACTATGTTGTTTAGTGCATGTGTTGTGCCTATCATCAAATAGATTTTCACAGTGTGCTTTTTTGTTGAGACAATTGATGAATCGAAAGAAGCCAAAGGTGGTTGAACTCAGACCTGGCACGAGGGGATGAAAACTCCTACCAAGAGACTTGCTCACGTAGACCGCCCTAATCCTCCTGAGCGGGGACCTCGGGATCACCGTAACCGGTGGTTAGATACACTTGGTGATATGGTTGTGTTGTAAATAGTGGCATTCGTGCATCTCACTTTCTTTGTTGTGTGAATTCCGTTTCTTCTCTTTGAGTCTACTCATAACATTCCAATCTTGCCTTCAATGCTTCATCCAAATGGGTAGTCCTAAGACAGCAACCAAAACCGTCCTACGAAGTTGCATGATTAGTGTTTTTAAAATCCCTAGTAAAATGAACTTCAAGCTCGTATGGAAATCGGAAGCAGTAAAAACGTTTTAATAGGGCCTTACATATTAGTGTGTTTCTGAAGGTGATAAATTGGGGAGCGTGCATGGATTTAGTGGTCATTGGATAATTCTTGTTGGTTCAAACTGGACTGTTTAATGTGATATGCCCAAACCAAAGCTGTGTTTCGCAACCCTCGCCCTCTTTTTCAGGCTGTGGTCTAACACTGGACCTAACCACTTCAGTTCGTAAAGATCAAGCAGGGATTTCAGTTTCAGGCCGTGACTTTCTACTATTCTGAGCTCGGCAAGCTTTGAGGATCAGGTTATATTTTTGCAGTTCAGTCTTAATTCATATGTATAAAAGCCGACTGAAAAAACCCACGGCGTCCCTTCGATTTTTAACTGAGAAATAGGTGTCCTCTTGATGACGGGGATAATCTAGTTTAGCCGAAATTCATCTGTTCGTTTTATGAATGATGGCAATTTTGCGAGATTTGTTCCTAGTGAGAATTTTAATGCCTTTCATCCCTGGGCATGAAAAATATGGTGCTCGTAAACATCTGTGTTGAATATCACAAGCTGGTCACACGTATAGTTCTGGTTTTTGAGCAAGCATGTGCCAATGCGAGCTAGACGAAAACAGAAAGGAGGAGTTGGGTACGGATAAGAGAAGCAAGTCTCTTGATGTCTATTGTGTGTTTCATTTTCACTTATCCTTTATGGGGCGCGGGATTTCAACAAGCCGACTATACAGCATTCTTGCCACTGATTTTCATTCTGAACCGTATTTCCCAATGTCCCTGAGCAACGACAATCGCAGCAGAGTACACAATTCAGAAGAGAAATCATATATACCTAATATGTGATAGGACTAATTGCATATGATGTTCTGGGATCTAAATTTGCTACGCACGTTTTAAAAAAATATGCTATTGTACCAGATGACCGCGGAGCCGTCAATAATGATCTGTTCTAACTAATAAAACTTTTAAGTAATAATCTCAATTAATTGAGTGTAGTACATTTGGTGATGATTACCACTATGCTCCTTTCTTACGATAACCTCAGAATATTGATTGTGGTGTGTATCTTACAGCTGTGTAATAGATAACCGGTTTTGGAGAAAAAACTTTTACACTTCAGTTGTTTCAACATGTGCGTTATTGTCCCCCCCCTTTGTGCTTGTTAATATCTATCTTATGAAGTAGTGTTCTTGCACAACTAAAGAACTCCCGATGATCCAAACTTATTCCTATATTTTTAACCATAAATGAACTCGAGCTTTAAATATGCAATCAGACAGTTGTCAATTTATTCTGAAATCGGTTATCCTCTTCTTTGTTCTTATGAAACCCTCTTTTGATAAATACACACGTATGTAGCAAAACTCATCTTTTTGGTTATTCTGACCGCGCTTGTTTGAGCTACACTTTTGCCCAGACCTTGTCAAACTACGCAGAGCATAATTAGGTGCTACTGGCTTCTCGTTTTGCTGTGGATTACCCTGGTAATCAGCAACGAAAATGCTAGTTCGATTAGACAAAACGCTCAATTGTATGTGCTCATTAGCTTCTTTTCCAAACTGAGAGGAAAAATTAAAACCAAATAATAGGGACTTTGTTTCCTTAAAAATTTGTTGCCAACACGATGAGATTGCACCTTCACAAGGTGCGATGGCTCGCGTGCTTTCATGATCCTGCGAGCTGCTGAGGATGACTTCTCACAGCCGTAGATCCGATCATGTCTGGAAGATCAACGGTTAGAGGCCAGAAAACAACTCAGTTTCACAACGCCAACTGCTTGGACACCTGGCTTCTATTCACAGTAGCTCCTGGAGAGGTCACTCCAGCAAATAACCACGGTGAGGGGCAGTTTACCGGCCAAAATTTCCCCGTTAGATAGTTGTAGGAGCGGGGCACCTGGAGCTTCCTCCCGACGGTGGGAGATGTCTTCGCACTTCATTGAACAGCTACCGCCCGCCCAAGCTGGGCAGACCCCATTAAATGGGATGCTGTCCCGTCCACGTTCCGCTTGTCCCATTGGGTGCGTGAGGCTAAGGACCGACAATCAACGCATTAGCAAACAAAACACTGAACAAAAACCTGAGGGCCTTGCATGGCAGGTCTCCAGAAGCTCCCACACGAGTGCTTCGGTCACGCTTCTGCATTGGACCTACGCCCCACTGCATTGTGGGTCAGACTCTTGGGTCGAAGACTCCAGTTAGGGTTACCAAGGAAAACTCTTTCGTGAATGTGGGCTGCCGCGAAGTATATCGTGCCCCAAAGTCTTAGTCACCCGTTTGGTTCACCCATTATGCTCGTTGCCGGTCGGAATTGATCGACGTGCGTCAAGAAGGCGTAGAGACTCCGCAGGAATCTAGGGTGTTACGGCACGATTTGTCAGACCACAACTAACCAAGCCAGAAGAATGCAGAGCATTCTTGATAAACGACCAGTGCTGCTTGGTTTTATTGCATGTGGTTGGTTCTAGCTTTTCAGCTAGCGGGGTTTGGAAGACGGTTAGACAAGCTGGTTTGGAATATTGATCACAGTCTAGTTGTCGATGTGTCGTGCGTTTTGGACCCCCACTGAAGCTTCTAGACAGCTTGGCGCAAACTAACGCATGGTCAGATTCAAGAGGAGTGCTCCAATACAATCGATGGTGCTGTATGCAGTCCAGCCATTTGCGGCTTATGACGATGTGGTCGATTTGCGATTTGTCGCGAGGAGAACGGATGCCAAGTGGCTTACCAACAATTGGAACGTCTGAAGTTCGTACTGGCGAGTCATAGGCGGTAGCTGGAAGGTGGAACTTATTAGGACGGAGCCTAAGCAGCCCGTCCGATAGCGCACGCCTCCTAGTCAGGCCGCACGCAAGCTCACAACGCACCAGACAAGCTGAGCCCGATTGGAACGAATCAGTCACAGTTTGTCCAATCGATCCATCGGTATGCTATGGACGCATCGATTGATTGGTGCATCACTGCTCCTTTATCGTATGCGCAATTTGTTCTATATATTTTCGTATCGAGATCTAATCGAAAAGAATATACACTGACGGTTGTCTCAACCTGTGTTCTCTCCCTGTGTTATCTTTGGGGGTTAAGCAAGAGTCACTCGTGTCATTCGTACCTCTGGTCTCTAGTTCGAACCAACAGCCGTTTTCCGAGCGACAGGAATCCAGTCCGAAATGACCTCCCATTTCCGCTTCACTCGAAGTCATCTGGTGCACTCTAGCATTCATATTTCCTGCTAAAATCACGTTTCGCATTACGAAATAAGTCGTGTAGATTATGGTAAAATTCATGTTTGACTGCATCTGGGCTGCAGTCCGTTGGAGCGTACGCCGAAACGACAAACAAGTTTCGTCTATCGTGGCGACGGCTGCTTACTTTGCATGAGCCTTTGAGTCTCACTACGCATAACCTACTGTCGACTGGGATCCAGTCCAGGAGCGCGGCTTCAGCTCTCAATGAGAGCCACACCAACGTCATCAAGGCCGGAAGCCGCAGCCTCAGGGTCGAGAGAGGTGTAAGTGAAACTTCACAGATGGGTTTGACGGGGACGTCAATCGGATAATGGAGCTGGCGTCTCGAATGCGAGTTTCTTGGACAAAACACACATCGATGGCTAGGGTCTTGAGCGTACGAGTTCAATACGCCTGTTGTCCTATACGCATCAGAGTACGCACATCAAACGTGGCTAGTTTGAAGGGGCATCGAGGGCGAAGAAGGGCTCCAGCTGGTGGTGGATTCGGTGAGACTTGGATGCTAGTCGAGGTAGGACACAAGAGAACGGCCGAAGAGTTCCATCTGATGCGCTACTGCTAGCATGATCATCTAACGAACCCGAGAGAGGGGATGAAGGTGAGATGGGGGAGGGCTTGGGAGACATGATTGTGTGTACGGTGGAGTGTTCATCACTGGAAGCAGGAATTGTACACTGAAGACATGTAAGAATCGAAGATTTCATCATTTTGGGGCGTTGTGGGCTGTTGTACTACTCGGTCGCCCGATCCAGATTAGGCCTTGTTCGGGGGTTGCACTCTAGCCTCTGCGCAATCAAGCGCAGACTGCATGTCTGCAGCGATGTTCTAGATGGGCCGGCAGCCAGTTTTTAGTTCATTCGCTTCCTCTAGAAAACCTTGCCGAACAGTAGATTTGAACAACGGGCGATGGCCATATTTAGTGGCGCGCCATACTCACCACGTCACAGCGCTGTCCACTGACATGTGTGGTGTTTCGTGCGGAATACCCTTGCCAGGAGGTAAACCCACTACATCCTCGAGCGCTGCCGCTGATCGTCCGTGATCGCTTATTCTGCAGGCCGAAGCCCACCTTATTCACGGTTAGCCGTGAGATGACGGTCGTTCTCCTATTCGCAACTTGGTGACGCGCTCAGTAGCATACAGTTCTGCTCTCCCGAGCCAATAAAAGGTCAGATGAAGAAACCCCAATCTATTTGGCTTCTCTAATATTCTCTGTGACTCCACTCTCAACATTTAAGTCTTCCTTCTGTTCTTTCCCATACTTGACAGCCTAAAGATCGCAACCAAAACCGCCACACAAAGATGCATCGTTGCTGGTTGTAAAAGCTGAACTAAATTGAACGCTTATGTTCGGGACTCCCGAAGCAAATGAAAGTGACAGACGGTCTAGATCGGCGAGCTTCAAAAGTCAGAGATTCATTCACCATCCTGCCACCAGTTTGCAACGTTTGTTGCTTCTGTTATTTGTGTGGTTGTACGTTTTAAATCGTACATGCATTCTTTGTCTACCCGGTGTTTCTAATTGGTCGAATGCTTTCGGCTGTTCGCATTGTGATTCACCAAGTGTCCGATTTTCTTTATACTTTATACTTTTTCAGCATACAAATATCTACCCATGGCGGGAGATTTCTCTTATTGTGCTGTTCAGACAAAACAAATTAGTAAGCACAAAATCTCTGTCTGCTCATGGTCACCTAAAACCGATCTGATTGCGCTGGGTTCTCAAACAGGTTGTGTTTCTGTGCACAGGTGAGTCTCGTTTTTTGTACTCAGCTCGACTCTTCCTTCAGTCTTGCTGCAATTTCTTCGCTTCATCCTGTCGCTCCTGTATAGCAGATTACATATATCATCTGATCAACAACGGCGTTAATTGTTTTTTTCCTGTAGCTCGAATAGTGTCGCTTGGCATTCATTCAGTTGATCACCGAGCTTGATAATTCTAAGATAAACGTGGTACCGTCAGCAAAAGCAACACTTTCCACACTGTATTGGAACCTAGTAGACTGTAGTAGACTTTTACTTACTGGAAGTCGATGCGATCCTCTTGGATAAAGCACCTTTACCTATTACTTCGATTATATTTACTCTTCAGATAAAAAAACAACACTTGCAGTAATCATTGCTCAGTGAATACATTTACTCAACTATTGGATCAGTATTATTTGTGGGTTTACCCAACTAAAATGATGTATACAGTACATAGGTCATACCAGAATAAATACTATGGTTCACGCCTCCTTTTCGCATTTGGTAATATATTGTGGCGCTATTTGGTAGGCTACAGCCCTTTTTCGTGAAACTTATACGATTTCTCTGCAAAAAACAAATATAATCATATGGGGTTATCTTTCGGCATCATAATAATGCCAAAAAGTATGTATTTGGCTGCATATTTACGTATACGTTTACCTCTCTCCTCATCACCAAGGTATAAAATGAGCTGTATTTGGGAATCCGCTCATGCAGATCTCGGTGCAGTCACCTGTCTGGCCTGGAGATCGGATGGTCAGAGTTTGTGTGCATCGCACGCTTCCGGCACAGTCCATCTGTACCTTACCAACGATGGATTTATCTATCATACCATCACTCTTCCCACCGCAGTCACACATCTCAGCTGGATCGGTCACAGTCTAGATTCCAAATCGGTCCCAATCACAAACGCGATCAGCCTGTTCCCCGATCTGAACGCATTAACCATGTTCAAATCGTGAGTTGCCTGTTCTTTTATCGATGACCCGGTCTCGATTTTCGTCTGTCGTCTAGTGACACAAACTTCACCGCATCGGACACGTTCAAGCTATCTCAGTTGCTGAATAACGTAGACGAAAGGTAGGCATCATATCTGTTCTTTTATGGCTCATATTCACCTCACTCCCCTCCCCTCCTAACCCGCGGGGTGCTGATAGTCTGACTATTTTGACCGTATTATGCGATAAGCAGATACACATATACGGGTGTGGTACATTCCACATCGCCCGGGGGCGTCTGGAAACCAAGTACCATTCGGATTCCTCTCAGATCACGGTGCGCCTCCCTTTCCCTAATCTGATCTCTTCTTTCCTGAACCAGGTCCTCGGCTGTCACTTCTCGAGTTGTTCTCGATTCATATGGATATTGTACAATTGTGTGTCCAGTGATGGGATGCTCTGTTTAGAATTGCAACAGGTTCGATTTCTCACATTGATTTAGGAATCCTCTGTATTTGTCGATTTAGATCCCCTGTTCCAGACTGGTTAGTCATGCTCAACAGCTACGCACTCTATCTGTGCACAGTTCTTCAGTGCGAGTGTGCAAGTTGGTAAGTTCCCATCTGTTCTGCCCCTTTCTCGTACCACATGTCGAAACAATAAACATGTTCTGTTGTCTGTGCTCTTTCGTATAGTTGTATCTAAACTCGAATTCCGATGTTTCATTTTACTCTTGAGCTGACTCACTTCCATGAAGGTTTATCGAAGTAGTTACAAAATGAACTGATGAGACCTAACTAGGTATAAACAGCTGTCCAGTACTTCCTAGCTTTTCAGTGCACCCTTCATTTGCTATATACACGACGAATACTCATTTGAAAATGAGTAGACAATAAATTGGAAAAGCAAATTGCCCAAACAATCACACGTCTTTTCTTATCAGCTACCTTGTGTGATGAGCCAGCAGTACACCCCCCGCCGTCATCACGAATATCTGTTCAGTTATCGAATCGGATAGCTTGAACCCTGTGGCACGGATTGGTGAATCAGCTGTTGCTCTCATGGAATATAGACGGTCCCGAGTGAAACAGCAGTGATGCGTACTATCAGTGCAATGTTGGGTGGCGGTAGCAGAGACTCAATCGTCTACTAGAGGTTGTGTAGGAGTTGTCATTCTTTAGTTCAACAGAAAGCCATATTGGTACACTTTGGCTGTTTTGTTCGGAACCACGAGATTTGCACACAGTTTTGCAGCTGAATAATGCAATCGAATCCCTTGAACGATGGCGTTTTTGGGTTCATTTCTCTCAGTCAACCGATTCTCTTATACCCATTCTTTTTGCATTCTTTCCTTCCTGCATTTCCTATCCATTTGATTCCACCAAAGTGATAGGGATTAAACGATTTAAGTGTTTGTGAATGGGGTGCTTAAGGTTCGAAGATCGCAACATACAACTGATAACCGACTTTGGATATAGACAATTCTACTATCCACTTGTTCAACGGCTCGCCTACCCCCGAGGGACCTTTTGAGTTGGCTTAGGTTGCAGTTACCTTTAATGAACAGTGGATTCTCGCCTGCATGTTGTTCACCCTCTCTAACGTTCACCAAACTAAGGCATATATTAGTACGATCCGCTCGAGTGAAATAATGTAAAACAACAGAAGTGGTATTCAAGTGCTGTGGTACTCATGATAAGAAAAAGAATGAACATACTTCAGTGTAATCTGTGTCATTCAAACTTCTTTTCAACAAAAGCTGGCTATGAATATGTGATCAAATTCTTCAATTGTATTTCGCGATTCTTATGCACAAAGTTGTCCTTGTTGAATACAACTGATGATCTGATCATATAGGTTTAGAAATCACGAAGCAAGATTTAAATTTTGCAATGGATTTCTAGCATCAGCATTTGACAGCACAGTTAATCATTCGATCCATCATTCGCTTGGTCATAACAGCGACTGCCTTGAAAGTGATACATTTTCTTTTCGCTGCACGTCCCCCCCCCCACCATATCAGAACGTGGCTATATGCATCAATTATTTTTCGTCTAACGTCTACCTCTCGTTATCTTTCTGCAGCTTTTGGATTGGAGCTTCAGTCAAATTTGCGTATCATGGGAAGATATGATACTTGAAGTGGACGCTAAATTTACCAAATATGGTCGAGATCGGTTGGCTCAGAACAAGGTGAGTAATTTTTTCCGGAATTTTCTCGACAGTGAGTCGTTTTATGTTTTTTACAGTTGATCATACTTGAACACAACTTTGCACTGAAACGGGCAACGAATACATCTGCATGTGTGTAACGTCGACTTCACCCCTGAACTTCTATGCCGGTACAGGTGAATGCCACAGCCACAATTTATGGCATTCGTTCGACCGTTCCCTAATTTAAAATAATACTGAATACTGTTGATTTGCATATTAATCGAACCATAAAAAATGCGTTTTACAAAGGTACCTGGTTCTTTCTGTTCTGGTAGAAACTTTTCATTTTTACAATCATAATCAGGTTTGATTGACACATTCATCTGCTACTTATTCTTTGGGACGCGAAGCTGAACATTTCGCTCTAGTCAACGACTCG